TAAAAAATAATCTAAATTAACTTTTTATACTATTTTAACTATTCTATTATACTTTAATTCAATAATAAATAAAGTATTATTTTACTATATCGTGAGTTTACAATAACGAGAATCTTGTCAAACTTAATTCCCTTTCATCTTATTTCTAACTTAAACATAAAGTCATGAAATTTTTTTCAAATTCTACTAATAGAGAAACTTGTTCCTTGAAATTTAAAGTACATAAAATTTTATAAGTTATAACACTTCCATCTGTAGGTATCGGGAATAATATGGCTTGGTGTTTAGAATTACAAATAGTGGAACAAGCTTATTAAATAAATAACTACTGAAAAAGTTTGCATGTTGGTTCTTTTTAGTCAACTCGTTTATTGGTATATTTGAAAAACAAGCCTGTTATTAGGCTATCATCTCTTTCGAATTTGCTTTTTTGACCCTAACCATAAGGCTTACCGAAGATGTGATAAAAACGTTTGGTTGCTCCATTTCAACTATAAATCATCAAATCTTTGTAACATTATACGTATTTGGAATAATAAAGTGATGAAACAATAAAATAGACAATTTAATCATACATAGAATTACAGTAAATATTAATCATAAATTCGACCACTAATATTAATTATAACAAAAGATAAAACAAAAAATTACCAAGATGAACTATTGTTCAAGCCTAAGCCTGTCTTGTTAAATCAAAACACACAAAAAGAGTATGGCTTATCTTAAATATTGGAATTCTTTATATCTTTCCGTGAATTGTTTATATTTCGTAAAATTCTCGAAGCATTTTCGGAAATGTGAATCAACGTCCAAAAAACTCTTCCGGGATGCGCGCGAATCGATTTTCTTCGAGACCAAATGTTGGAATAAACTTTTTTCGCAGAACTATAATAATAACATAAATATAAATCTTTGAAATTTAATTATTATATAGAGAAACGATAAACACCTACATTCAATTCTTCCGGGAGGATAAGTATCCTTTATTCTGTTAGAATTTAAAAAGGTTTTTAAATCTTCTGGGTGCGGAGCGCCAACGTGAAACGATTTGAGCTTAAATTGCAAGTCTTCCAGGAATATACGAAGTTCAGCAATTGACATCTGATGTCCATTAATATTGATTCTTAAATGCCGTAATGTTACTGGGGCAGTTTTCGCGATTTTCGTCAACAATGCATAATTGTTGTTTCCATGAGAGCAAAATATAAAATCAATTAGATTCGGACAGGCAGATAGAATCCTGCCGGTATTCATTTCGTTTATACCTGATAATTCTAGAAACTTTAATGCTTGCCCATTAGCAATCAAAGAGTCTATGATTTCTTGATGTACCATAGTATCCCAAGATAAAGGATTCAAAAAAAGAAACTCGAGTTTGTTTCCACTCGTTTCGAGCACCGTCTTCACAATTTCAGTTGGCATTGTTCGACGTTCTGATAAACAAGCAAAATATTTCAAATTTTGAAAAGATTTGACCGCCTCGATTAATCCGATCGAATCGCAATTTAAGCAATATTCTAGATCGAGTGCTCTTAAATTAATGCAAGATTTCAATCCTTTGATTGCCATTTCGTCGATAAATTCAAAATCTAATTTAAAAAAACTTAAAGTCTTAATTGACTTTCCCATTGAAGCTAGTGAAGTCAAAGCTCTCCAAGATCCACCAAAAGAAAGGCAGAGATGTGCCAAATTTTTTTGTTGCTTGATGAAATTCGCTGTAGATTCTGGATCGTTCTCGAATATGCTTTCTACACGTAAATGCGTAATTTCCGTAATTTTTTCGGTCATCGGTTTCCAAAGGTCTTGACTTAAATAGTCACCTTTAAAGTGAAATTTTCGAATTTTCTTAAGAGATTGATCGACACCGTCAAATTCGGGGAAAACAAAATTATTTTTAGACATTTCAACAAATTGAGCTTTATAGATTTCGATTATCAATTCATCCAAGGAATCAGCAGATTGTAAAATTAAAGTCAAGATTTCACGTAAGACTTCAGAGATCATAATTTTATCTTGAATATCCACTTTTATTTTATGTGGTACTAGCCATGCAGTAATAGAATTGAAAATATCACCAAATCTCAAACGTTTTAGAATAGAATGGTATGCAAAAGTAGGGGGTCCGGTGAGATCGGAAATTTGTCTAATGCCAGCTTCCATTAGGCGACAACGAGCCGATTCTGGTAAAGATCTCATATAAAGTTGAATAATTTTTGGCGATGGTCCTTTTACAAATGGATCTCGCCAAAGCATCGGAATAACAGCGCGACACCATTGTCGATTCACTAAAAGACACGAAAATAATGTTTGTAAGTCACGAAAATGTTCGAATATTTCTTGTAGAATTTCGATAAAAAGTATCGGAGATGATAAATCTTTTTTAGTTGATGCCATTATTAATTTTGTTTAAAAAACCGAATGATAAAATACATGTATTTATAAACACAATTAGATATGCACAGCCTCCTTGAAACCATGTGTTGAGCACAAGCGTTCATGACTAAAAATAGATTACTGCGTCTTTTGCTTGACAATACGTCAGTTTTAAGCTAAGAAATTTACAAGAAATTTGTTTTATAAGTTTTCTAAGCATATAAAAAGAGAAAATTCTTGGCTTGGGTAAAGCAAACCAGGCGTAGTTAAATCTAACAATATTATTTTGCTACAAGATCAAAATAAATACTGTCACATGGTAAAATAATTGTCAATACTCTATTCTAGAATTCTAAATCAACTTTATTATATTGCTATTATGATTAAAAATTTTTGAGAATTACAAATTAATTTTTTCGGAAAACTTTTTTATTTCTAATTATAAATATTGATAGTCAAAAGAATTGCAAGAGAGATAATAAAATTTCTATTTTTAAGTTTATAATTTATAGATTAATATATAATGCAAGGCTTTAGCACAATATAAGTGTTTAATATAAAAATGAAAAATAAAGAGAAAAATAAAACAAAAAATTTTTGTTTTACAATCGAATCCTCTAAGTATCCACCTTCTAAGTGCACACATTATATAAATTCTCTCTAAGTACATAATATAATCTGATTCTAGTTTATATTAATAAATATTGTGTTTATTTGAAGAATATTTGAAGAATAGATAGAATGTTATATATTTTGTAAATAATTAAGTCTCATTTTTGAATATACAGAATATTTAATTTTTTATATCACTTTATAAAGATTAGAATATACTAGAATATTTTGCTAATTAATAAATCATACTAATACAATCTGTATATTTATAAAAATCTTATTGATTTTTTACAAAGTATTAGTATTTAATATTGCAGTAAGCTTATAAAAAATATTAAAAATTTATATGTAATAAAAAGTGCATAAAATAGATGAATTTACCTTATGTACATTATAATATTCTTGCCTATGCACTTAATCCAGAAGAAGAAAAAACTCTAATAATGAGTTCTATCAAGAATGAGATATCTTGAAAAATTATAAAATATTGAACTGTTTAAAGATTTTTAGTTACATACCAAGAAAATTAGCATGTTATTATTTTTTAGTTGTGAAATACATTTGCTTTATTGCTAAAAGTTGATTAGTGGCCCCCAAAGGTATCATTTTTTCCTTTGAATGTGTTATGTGATGACCAATTCTAGAATCTTCAATTGTTCCACTTCATATGACAGCTACGCTGATTTATTTTTCCACTTTTTAATTCTCATCATATTTTTATCATCATAGATATGAGTCATATAATACTGGAAATGAAACTTCTAGAAAAGTAACGGTTAACAAAAATTATATCAGCCATCTTCAATATATTATGTGGCGACATAATATATTAGTTTCTTGCATTGTTTGTTATTTTTAGTTTTTCAAGGATTGTTTTAATATCACTATTGAAATATTTATAATAGTAAAATACTTCTCTTATCCCCAGTTACAATTAGTCAGCTTATCACGAATATTAGCGCTTATAAAGCAGCATTTGTTTAGGGGACTTGACGTCATATTGAATGTATTTGTAACGTAGCCATGACCAGTATCAAATTTCTTATACCGTACTATATATAAGAAAAGAAACTTGCGATACTCAGTCAGCCAACCACGATATTCGTTACATCGAGTGTGACTATGTTGATGGGGGGATACTTTTTATCTCATTTCACGTATTATAAATCTAAAGAAGGGGAGAGAAGGGATAACCCTTATTACGTAATATGTATTTATAAACAAAAATTAGGCACCAAAAATATTCATTTTCTGGTGAATTCTGTTTTGTGGTATTCTTTGTTTAATATACAACATGATAATATATGTATGATGTTAAGATGCGTGTCTTCAATATTTGTCGTCTAGATCCGGATCGGGATAAATTGTTAAAGTTACATAACATAAATGGGTATCGGTGTTGACGTACAAGACGATCATTTATTCTCGTTTCGGTATTCGAGTAAAAAAAAAACGATTTATCGTTATCGTTATCCAAATTTTTTTAATATTTATATCGATATACCATATATGAATACTAAACGACGGTAAGTTGATTTTTTGAATAATTTAAAAAGATTGATTATTTCAATGAATCATTGCCTTTTCAGGAAAATTGATGACGTTTCGTCGATTGATGTAAACGATCGAAATATCAGTAATATTAATATTAACAACAACATCAGTACTATTAATAACAACCAATCAAAGCTAAAATCACTCGCGTTCTCACTGCCAACTGAAATATTTAAAGAAATCTTTGTAAATTTCGATGACAACTACAAAACCCTTTTTGCGTGTACACTAGTAAATCGTCAATGGTGCAAAAATGCAGTTCCGATACTATGGAGAATACCATTCAAAAAACCTCATAGTACTTTATCTTCAACAAAAATCTTTGAAATGCTTGTTCGTTGTCTATCGCCAAAAGCAAGAGCACGACTAATAGCCGAAGGTATTGATGAACTACCAAAACCGGAACATCAACCTACTTTTCGATACGTAAATTTTCTGACGTGTTTGGATTTTCAGCTGCTTTGGGAGACAACGCACGAATGGCTGGTGAGACGTCCAAAAGGAATTGTTTCAATGGAGGCACATATAGTTAAAGTCGCGCATTTGAGTCGTGAGATTTGTACTTGTATTTTTCGGTCATCGGAGTGTTTGGAACGACTGGTTGTCTCGATGGATTCTTCTCAGCTTTCGAGAGTTCCCGAGGCAAATTTTGTGTTTACCTTTTTCCCGGGTGCTGTTAACTGTCTGTCGGGGATAAAAGAATTACAAGTATGTGGAGATTATTTTCGTCCGATTTTGTGTAAGACGCTGTCACAAATTTGTCAGCAACTAGTTACATTACGAATTGATGCCCCGCACGAAATCTCATCGTCGTCGTTGCATCAAGAAGAAACTTCAGTAAGTTTGATCCAAGCACAAAAAAATCTCAAAAATTTCCAATTATACGGCCATAAATCAACTTTATCACAACTATTGACGCCAATTTCAACTTGTGCTCATTCATTGGAATCATTGAAATTTCAAAATGTAAATTTTTCATCAATATCCCGTAAAGCAATAAGTTCACTGTGTTCTTGCGTCAACTTGATCGCTCTCGAAATTACGAAATGTCAAAATATTTCCCTTCTGGAACCTTACCAAGTCGCGCAAAGTTTCACGAAGCTTTTATATTTTTCGTTTAGTTCCTATGTAACGGAAGACTTTGCGAAATCTATTCTAACTACTAGCCAACAAATAGAATTTTTCTCGTTAAAATATTCCACCAGGATCAATGAAATACCTCGGCTATCCAGCTCAATATTTCAAGCAATAATAGCATATGGAAGTAAACTCATGTTCCTTGAGCTTCCAGTCCTCGACGAGACACAAATAACGCAGATATTGTTGGCTTGCCCGCAATTAGTAGAATTTATATTTTGGGTATCTGATTCGCCACGAGTTGATCAAATTTTACACAATTTGGGAAACCTTTTGCCACCGAGTTTAAAGCATATATGCATAAATGGACTAAGCATTCAGTTCAAGCTCGAATCGTTGATAACTTTTATGGATGAAAATTTAGAGTTATCTGAAGATCGGATTACTCGTAAGATTTAAAATTTCTTAATGATGTGTAATGCAACCTCATACAGATCTCAAATTTTTTAATTGATTCTTAATTCTTTCAAAAGTTTTGCGTAAAAATTATATTCCCGCAATTGGAAGAACGTCAAATATTGGCCTTGGAATAAATTCTTAACTCGTTCAGTAGTAATCCACAAATCTATTTTTGTGAGATTATTCAAAGAGGATCGGTTGGTTGAATGTATTTCTAAGTAAGGAAACATTGTTTAATAAATTAATTTTTAACGGTAAAAATTAAGATAAACAAAATTAGATAATTAAATTTAAGGCTCACATAAATTTCACTAACGCTAAAGGAATAACAAGAAATATCTGGTTACACTATAAAATACGCACTGTATCGGTATGTGCGCGCTAAACAATAACACGACACGAAACAAATAATTTTAATTTGTTTTATCCTTTTTTAGTTAAAATCTCACATTCGAAAATAGAGTTTCAAATTTAACAATAAAAAAATTGCATCTCAAACCTTTGAAAAAAAAACTTTATAACGCAGCAGTAGCATTATTATTCTCGTCAAATTGAATACATATGGAAATAAATGTGCGTGGTAACGGTACATTACACAAATAATGCAATGATGCTAAATTCGGCTATTTAACAAGAGTCAAAACAATGTAATTGCGTCATGACCAATCAATGGAACTCCCTTTTCCTTTACAATGAGGATCATTCCTTCACATGAATAGAACTCCCGTCACTCATCATTTTTCTTTGAACAGGTGAGTGAGTACATGTACATAGAAAAAAAAACATTCACAGATTATAATAATACAATCAATCATATAATATATAATAAATAATGAAGTAATTTATTAATTATATCAGGTATTATATCAGTTTTGTGTCTAGTGAATAATCAATCATCGAAATACACAGAACACAACACAAACGCACAAATGTTGTTTGTTCTCTATTGCTATCGCTATGTTCCTCAAAATTTATAAATACGTAACAGGTCAGACATTCATTCCATCCATTTTTGAAATATTTACACGCACATCTATTAACCTTAACGTTAATATATCCTTTTTCGAGAAAACATTTCTTTTGATTCTCGGTATTAGAAATACATAGATTCATTTGTCTTTTTCTTACTTTTTTGATTGTATTTTGTAAATAAATAAATAAATAAAATAATAATAAATAAGCTTTCTGCAACAACATCATGCCGATTCCGAAACGAAATACTAATTCAAGCACAATTTCTGGCTCGTCATCGTCAACAAAAATTAACGAACGAATAATACTGAATGTTGGTGGCATAAAGGTAAATTTCTAAATACGTTGAAGGATGGAGATCGTGTTTTTATTTCAGCTGTTCTTTTTTTATACATGTTTCTAATATAACGATAATATAGTATGAAACATATCGTTCAACCTTAACAGCATACCCAGAAACACTTCTCGGAACAATGTTTCAAGAACGTAATGCTGAACTTTTACACCCAA